TCGTGATTACCACGTTAGGGTCTGTCACTTATGTTCTCCATGCAGCCATGCTTTAGCATACTAGTTTTGCAATATATCCCGTGAACGAAACCGCCGCAGAAGCAGGGAGAACTTGAAATTTAAATCATGACATTTAGGACATACATGTCTTCATTTTCTGTTATGAATCGTCAGCTTTGCTCATCATTCGCTCTTGTATTGGCATATCAATTTTGCTATGAATGCCTTTGTTGAAATGGCCAGGAGAGCTAAACGTCGTAGGCGGCTAGATGGATAGATAGGTAGATAGATAGATAGATAGATGAATAGATAGATAGATAGATAGATATATGGATAGATAGATAGATATAGATAGATAGATAGATAGATAGATAGATAGATAGATAGATAGATAGATAGATAGATAGATAGATAGATAGATAGATAGATAGATAGATAGATAGATAGATAGATAGATAGATAGATAGATAGATAGATAGATAGATAGATAGATAGATAGATAGATAGATAGATAGATAGATAGATAGATAGATAGATAGATAGATAGATAGATAGATAGATAGATAGATAGATAGATAGATAGATAGATAGATAGATAGATAGATAGAGGGGCAGGCAGGCAGGCATATAAGGTCTAACACGCCGAAGTTCTCTATAACATGCTTCGCATTATTTAATATAAAGTTGGAACAGTGAGCATGGTTGCCGAGTTAGGCTGGCAAATCGCCCACATCGGACTGGCCATGCACTAGCTCCTGGTGGTCACAGCATCATTGGCTTTCAGGCGCAATGCACTACCACTGAGAATCTCTATGTAAGGTAAACACATTAGTTACTGTTTCCCGGACAATAACGTCATTGCCATCATTGGCATTGTAGGTTATCTCGGCCACTTTGCTCTCACGAAATGGTTTAGTGGTCCCTGCTGATGGGCAGAAAATTGGTATACTTAAGCAAAGATAAGTTGCCTTGAACTTTTTATTATCAAGTACTGGTACCCAAAGTGAACATAATATATACAAAGTGACCAGCCTCAAGGTTATGCCCCTGATAACCTCTTCTTGAAAACAAACTGATTTGGTCCGAATGATGGGGGCGGTGCTTCTAGTCGCCTACACCGTATTCAACATCCTCCGCGCACCACCAGGGACGCCTCAAAACAAAAAACGCAAAACACATGTTTTAGGTACACACTGTTCGTAAATATGTGTACGAGTTCCACATGAATCCTGCTGAGTTCATTCGGATCTATTCCTGCATCTGGTGCTCTAGCGTTGTTTTCGGCACGTATTGCACACCCAGGTCTTTGATCACGTTGCCCGTAATGAACTTGAGCTTTCAAAGAGCATGTTTATTTCACATAAACACGATGATGCCGACCCGTCCATGAAGTATTTGGGAGGCTCATTTTGAAAAGGTTTCGCAGTTTTGTTCACATCAGAAGCACCAGCAATTTCACTCTATGTTGGTCTGGTCTCTTTCATTAGCGGCTGTGACGCCAGCTCTGCATTCCGCGATGAAATAAGATGTACCACCCGCATTACAGTCACCCTTAACGTCTGCAACTTTCTAGGAGAGCCGACGTTATGAGCAGTAAAAAGATCTTTCTTTTGCGTCCTCGTGATAATCCTTCTGTTGCAATTCGCTTTATTACCTGGCCTTGGTATGCTTCTGTCAGGCCCTCATACAAATGCAGACGATGAGGTTCAAAGTTCTGGAGCGTTCGTTTCCCTTGTGCACGCATCTTCACGATCTGTAGGCCTTATTCTCCTGCTACAAAATCTTCTCCATGTTCGATGCTCATACTTTACGTCCCCCAATTCTAAGCACGGTGCTCTTTTTTGTCATTGCATTGACCAGTAATATATGTTAACAAAAGATCTCAAGGAAGTGAATAAGTTGCTATAAGTTAATGTTCTTCTTTGTCTTTTTCCTTTGGGGAGAAATTCTCTGTAGTGGGACGGTAAGTTTGGCTGTTCTCACTAAGTTTCTATATTTATACGGGTTGAATTATGTACTTTCCGTGCGATAATTTTGTCATCGATGAATCAATGGCTACTAGGCTGCGCCACAAAGAGAGTATTTTGGTTGTATTACTTTCCGAATCTTTTACCTTATTGTCTGAAAGTGAGCCTCCTGAGCATACAATGTATTTTCAATTCCATATTCAGCTGTATCTTTTGCTAGAGTAATTTCATCAAATCAGTCTCTGGCTCCTACACCTCTGCTTTAAGTAATGGATGTCAACCGCACCTTCTGACAGTTTTTTTGTTTTTTAGAAGCTCGAAATAATTGGTAAGAATTTTCTGACTATACCCTGTTGCAAAAGCCAAAGGCACTGGTCTAGCGCCATATCTGATTACTTAATCGTTGTGGCGCTGACACTGGCACGCCGCACGAGGCACGCTGCATGCGGCACGCTGGAGCTGCACACTGGGATAGCCATTATTGGCCAGATTTGGGCTTTTCTACTGTATTTCAAAATTTTGTTCGTGTGCACATCCTAATTAGGGCTTAAGCACGCGCAGAGCGAAAAAGGAAAAAGGAAAACTCTTAAAAAATGGGTTAGCCAGAGTCGAGCCCACTACCTCAAGAATCACACAGCCTGAGCCTCAGACGCTGCCAACTACACCACACTCGAAATATGAAAATTACCTTATTTTTTTCATCCAAAAATAATTCAGGTTCCTAATATACTGAATTTGTCGCTTACATATGCACTGTTTCTTCTCTTTGTGCTCGCGCCCAACTAACAGGTGGTTTTTAGCTTACTTTTTGCAGGTTGCGTAGGTTCACATACATCTCACATGTCCTGCCGCAAAGCTTGTTAGCGTAGCTGCAGATGAGTTACGCCAATTTATAGACTTGCAATGCGGTTTTCGTACCTATGTAGAAAACAACGTTCACCTGAATTGCTCACTTAAGACTGTAGATTTCTTTCCTCAATAGTTAAGAAGTATTTTCTGTCCTCCTCCCTTACGTTCCACGTACTATAGCCGCAGCAGTTCACTCTCGCTAAAATGATTAGTAGGTTTAGGGCGGTACTTGATGTTCCACAACTGCTGTGAAGATCAGAGATATCCAGTTAGAAAGAGTGTAATGACCATTAAAAAGTAGTTTTGATCATAATTGACCCATGAGTGGTCCCAATTTCAACTTCGACTACACAAATCAGAAGCTAAAAACACCGGGATTGAGTATTGCAGCGGAGAATTGCTGCCGGGGACGTGCGGCTTTCTGTAGCACAAGCCGGAACGCTTCACTCCTAGAGTAGGTTGGTCTTGATTATTAGACTGATGAACAAGCCAACTCGATCAAACTTCAAAAAAGCGCACTGGCGCCTTGGGGGGGGGGGGGGGGGCATTCGTATGTAGGCTGTAGAATTTCTTCCCAAGATTTTAGCCTGCCCCACCTTCTCCCCTCCCCCAAGAGCAAGCATAGCCCAACACGACGCATAAATTCCGTGCCTTTTCGCCCCCTGCGGCAACACAATTGTCGTTGCTGCCCCTTTCCAAGCAAAATCCTTGCGGCACCACTGACGCACATGCTCGACATATCACTACTTCAGCGTAATCACACATACATCCATTGTGTAAACTAAAGCTATATATGTGTAGCCCATAGATTAGAATACCATCAATTTTGGTAGATTTCACGCTCGGCATCTCGCGAAGAAATATGAAGTCTTATAGAAAGAGCGCCGACCACGCCTGGCTTCTTTCAATGTGCAGCCGTTTTCAGTGTGCGGTAGAGACTGTGCACTGTGACCAGTGCGTTTCAGCACACTGGGCGGCACTGCCAACGCTGTACAGTGCGTTCCAGTGCCTCCCAGTGCGCTTTAGTACACTAGGACACACTGTACAGCGTTTTCAGTGTCATCCCGCGCTTTGAAGCGCACTGGGAGACACTGCAAACGTTATTATTTTCTATAGAGTATTCCGTAAGTCACGTACTGAGGGGCGCTGGAGATACAGTACACTTTCGATGGTACACACGGCTTGTGTATTTGGCATTGCGTACCTAACTTCGTCCTTCAAATAAGGTCTCTATAATTCGGTTCGCCACCCGAAACGAGAAAGTTCCCTGGCTAGCAGCGCCCTAAGGCAAAGCCAGCATAAGCGTGTGATCTGCCACTAAAAGTTCAGATGACAAAGTACTGGGCATCGTCGAGATGTAACCCTGCATTATCAGAGTCATGGGTATGCTTAGGTCTCGCATCTGCAGTCCACGCAATGACAGCTTAGCGAAATCCTCCTGCCTACGAATGTGGTCGAAATTCTTAAACTGCACTTGTCCTCAGCTACGATGGTTCTTTCGCACGCGTTTGACGGCACCAAGATTTACGAGCCATTCACATGGGAAAACTACGCGCCACCATACATACGGTGAAGCCCCCGCTAAACTTTCTTTAATTCGAACATTCTGACCTGGTCCCAAAAACGACTGCTGCTCCTTGAAGCCAACACAATATTAAACATAAGCAGCTGTGAACGTCGTTGCTTCTTTATGTAGAGAGAAAGAGAGAGAGAGGGAGAGAGAAGAGGAAGACAGGGAGTTTAACCAGAAGGTACCATCGGTACCCTACTCTGCACTGAGGTTGGGGAATAGGAAGCTGAAGAGGAAAGAAGAGATAAAAATTACACACAAAATTAATTGCAGCTACAGCGCTAACACATATAAGAGTGCTCCAGTGAATAATTGTTCGGATAATGTGGTATATTTCATAAAATGTAATGGCCGGGTAACGGTGCCTGTTAGTCTTCTAACCACAAAGGCCCGACGCCCGACAAGTCGCATTTTGTTTTTTACGCAGATTCATTCCATAAGTATGTATTTTGATGTTAGCACTCAGTTCATTGCACAATTACACATAGCACGCAATGGCGCTGGCTGCAATAAAGATTTATTTAGATGGCATCATATTCTTGCCCATCACAATATATATTACTTTATTAGGTTTCGTTCACTTTGTGACTATTGGCAGATTATTTTCTTTTCAGAGATATAAAGCTTGCTTTCCGTCTGAGGACTTCCGACACCGTCATTGATGTTGCAGTAGAACGTAAGTCCAAATTTTTTTAGAACAAATTTTGTTCATTACGTCGAAGTGGTTATTTTACTTGAACTTTCTCCGCTAAAAGACTGCCCCAATAGAGCCTGCTCAAAATTACTACGTAGGACTTCTATTCCACTTATAAATCATGAAGTCTTCTTAAGAGCTTTTTTTTCTGACAACAGTCGGTGACTAATAAATTACACGTAAATACGGCTGATTTTGTCGATGCTGATTCACCCCAATGTAATGTGACACGCATAGTTAAAGCATTCGTGCCCCCTACTTGGACATCTCTTTGAGCAATGCAGTTGAATAGGAATTGGTTGCTTTGTGTAAAATAACAGAAGCGAAATATTTGATAACGTGCGCGAAAGGATGGCTATGAATTGCCGCTGTGGCATTTTTTTCTCCCTTTGGAGTCAAGCAAAATTGGTTTTTCAGAAGAATGCTGCATTTTATTATGCGAAGATAGTGAAATGCGAAGCTACGCGAAAAGGGTAGTCAGAACAGATTTTGATGTTAAAACATTATCTCTAAAGTCATTAAGTGACTTATTTCTGGCACAAAACGTTTTCTGATTGCAAAAACAATTGAATATCTCTTATTGACTTTTCGTGTAGCATGCTAATATCCTTCTCACACGAAGGAAGCAGGAAAAAACGCCAGGCCTTTCAGAAGCCGCCGCACATTCACAGCGAAAGCTAAAAGAGCTGCCTTTCAGAACTTTTTTAAAACATTCATTGGGTAACTGCTGTATGCATGCTTGCTTGATTCCCTCTAGAGCATTGACAATAAGTTTTTTGGGGTAGTAGGCCGGCATTTGCTATGCAATTTTTCGTCATTCTACTAAGAGGCGTGGTATCCACTAAACACTTTTAAGGAATCTAGTGCCAATAGAGCCCGTAATGGCTGACGACGATGTGTAAATATGGCTGAAGTAGATATGCGCCACAGTTATTAGGAAAACAAGAACAAGCTTTTGTGATAGTTTGCAGCATTAGACGGTCCACTCGTCACACTGTTTGCATTGTGCGATGACTGCTCGTTCTTTCATTGTTGTAAAACGCTTTATAGGTGGCACCGACGCGATTGATTTCCCGATATCAAGTCTGCCTAAGGCAAGTTTGGCAACAAGTCACAAGCATTGATTTAGCTCAGTTGTAGAATACTGGGCTGGCACCCAGCGGACCCAGGTTCGAGCCCCACTGTGCCCTTGGTCCTAGGTCATGCCTACTTTTGGCAAGTTTGACGACAAGTTATAAACCAGCTTAACTCAGTGGTAGAATATTAGTCTGGAACAGAGTACACCGGGGTTCAAGCTCCACTGTGTCATTAGTACAAGGTTTTTTTGCTAATTTCGCCTGATGTGGTTACGGGCACCAGCGGTGGCGGCGGAGAGCAACTGCGCGAGACATAAAAAGTGATGTCATAACAGCTTTCGCTGTTAAACATAGCAGTCAAGAGTGAAGCTCCTACTCATTTACAGCGAAAGCTGTTATGAGATCACTTTTCGGGTCACGTGCAGTTACATGTTGTCCGCCACTGCCGCCACCGCCAGTCTCCGTAACCACATTGCGCTAAATTAGAAAAAAAAACCTTGCACCCATGACACAGTGGGACTTGAACCCGAGTCTGCTGGCTACCAGCCGAATATTTTACCATGACTTATGCCGGGGCTTATAACTTGTGGAACCTGGCTTAGGCACGCAAGACCTAGCACCAATGGCACAGTGGAGCTTGGATTCGGGAGCGCGGGGTGTCACCTAGTATTGTACCATGGAGTTACATCGGTGCTTGTGAGTTGTTGTCAAGCTTGCCTTAGGCAGGCGTGATGTCGGGAAAACAATCGCGTTAATACGACTTATAAAGCGTCTTACAACAGCGATAGAACAACCAGGTGTCGCACACGGCAAATAGCGTAACGAGTGGGCAATCCATTGCTCCAGCCCATTACAAAAACTTGTACTTGTTTCCCTATTGACTGTGGTGCATATTCACTTCATCCTTAATTTCTCAGCGTCGTCATCCACTGCATGGACAATTGGCACAAAATTCCTTGCAAGTGTTTAGCGGATACTACGCTTCTCAGAAGAATGACGAAAATAGCAAATATGCGAATGCTAGCCTACTACCGAAAAGCTTATTAGTAATTTCCTAACGGGTACCAAGCAAGTTTGCTTGCAGTAGTTACCCACTGAGTGTTCTGAAAAGACTCTGAAAGGCCTCTTCTCCAACTTTCGCTGTGAATGTGCTGCGCCGACCATGCAGCCCTGGCGGCGGTTTTTTTGTTCTTAATATTGTCGCAGTTCAGTTAGGGCTCCTTGTTGTTGGAAATCCAATAGGTTCCAGTCGTAAAACACCGCATGATACCGGAAAAAACTTCATGGCCATTCTGTAAAAGCCCGAATAAAGTATCAACGTAAAAAATGAAGCAGTAAAAAACAAACTGAGAAAATTATACGTGACGACATTCTCCAGCCGTTGGAACGTTCATAAGCGTTTTCAGTGGTGTCTATGAAAAATACGGACTGAACTTTACGCTTCTCTATGCCTATCATTTCCTGAGCGATAAAAAAAAGGACGTGCATATTGTCACAAGGGGATAGCTCACCCTAGATAGACTCCTCAACGCGATGCAATTTTATTCGATGGAGACTGGCTAAAGGCAAGTTGAAGTCAATGGAAGAACCAAGAAACACTGCTTTTCTAAAACCAGACGTCCTGCTCGAGTTTCAGGTCGTATCTTTGTTCATGGTCAGCGCTCGCAACATTCAAATGCGTTATGCATATAGTACTGGGAGGCGTGAAGTGGCAGACTTCTCTTGCGTACATAAGGAGCGTATTCATTTTTCCCACAAACTTTGACAAATATCTGTGGTGTCTTGAAAGTTTACTTCAAGCAATCATACGATCTTGTACCACGCTACAGCCCAGAAAATGCCGTGGAGCGTATGAGGAATTATTACTCTTAGACCGCGTGATACAAATACGGCATCACACCTTGATCTGCGAACGACAGATGACTTCAGTACATTCGCGTACTCCGCTACCAAGGAGGTATGGGTGCCTAATACAGCATTTATTCAAAAACTTTTCCGTGTCATCAAACCACTTACTAATAACTTTATCAGAGCTAACTTCAAATATAAGCGGCAAATACCGCAAGCGGAACCATTTCGAAAACTAAAGGAATGTCCAGAGATGGCGTTGTTATTTGAATATGTTGAATAATATGCCGAAACAGAAGTACACACCTACACTTACAGTGAATGGCTCCACACCGTTCTTGTGAATAGGGCTGACAGGCTGGATAACGTCATCACTTATGCTGCCTGGTCGCTATCAAAGCCGGCAGCCAGCTATTGTACAATAAAAATCGAGAGAATGTGCTGCTGTCATTAGGGCTTCATCAATCATTCACAATTATCTCTATGACAGGCCTTTCAAAGTTGTGAGTTACCACCACGTCTTGTGCCGGCAAGCTTTCGGAATCAGTTTTGCATAAAATATCACTTGCTTGTGAACCTCCCCCCCCCAAAAAAAACAATAACATATACTTTATTCACTCAAGAAGATTGAAATCACAATCTAATGGGCCTAAAATGTGAATTAGGACATCGAGGCTACGGTAATCAAGCTTTGAGCTAAAAGAACATGTTATGCGTAAGTTGTTCAGAGAACATCTCTCTCGAACAAATGAGTCCTTTCGTAAGCCGTATTGAACAATTTAGCACCTTGAGCAATATTATCATTTCCGCTACAAAGCAACAGTTCAGCCCAATTTTTTATTGGTCACACTCACATCAGGCGTGTCTCTTCTTAATTCTTATAATCTACCAAATGACTGGTTGACCCTGATCTAACAACATTCACCATTTTGCTCAAGACGCCTGAATATCTTCACACATATATTGTGGCTAACAGTTAAATACCTCAGTATCATTGGTACTTAAAAATCGCATTAGAATTTGAACTCTAACATAATGAAACATTGTATTGCAGTTTAAACAGGCTATGCAAAAGAACTCTAAATGGCAGTGCATGACTCATCCAAATTTCTATATTGTAATTACGTTCACTAAGGCAGCAGTCAGAATATTCAAGACAAAAATTTTATTTTGGTGAACGTAGGGCTGTAGAACGAAATATATGTGAAGCCAGAAGCCATACCCGCTGTATACACCAAGTTACTCGAATAGAGAATGGAACACCGATAATCTGATTTGTGATACGGCACAGCTGCAATTATGGATGTGGGCGGCTGCATTTCCGTATTGCAAAAGCCAGCACCACTGATTACCGGAATCTTGTGACAAGCCTGATTAAGGGCCCATTTTCGCGCTGGATATAGGAAGCATGAGCAGCATGTTACTGGAATGCGCTTGGCACTGTGCGTAAAACGGCTTCGCCAGATGAAAACGTGTGAACTTATTCGTCATCAATAAAGAAATTTATAAGTAAAAAAAGTGGCTTAGGGCACATTCAGTATAAAAAATAAAGAAAAGCAATAACCAAAAATGCCTAGCGACAGGAATCAAACACTTCCGATTCTCAACCGATTACTCTACGCACTGCGCCATGCCAGAACACATTGTATAGGTTGCAAATTGACTGTTTATTCATACAACATGGCGCTCAGCTTAATATTTACTGTTCGCACACTCAAGACTGACGCTATATTCATCTCTAAATAACATCTGCGTCTCCATTCGGCACTGAAGAACGGCTTCCGGGTACCTAATAACGTGCGGGTAATGGCAAGAGCGCAAACTTTTTGGTAAGTCTGCATCTGAGCTCTAAAATATCTCAATTGAACTGGAGGAGCACCCAAAAGTGGACGGCTGCTGATGCCGTTATTTTTTTTTTGATAGTCGTTTCTCGAACTTGCTACTGGTCAACAAGTACAGATAATTTGTAATGACTTGCTCGGTACACATGCGCGCAAACGATTGCATATTGAATGGTTTCATTGCGCAAGCGACAATAGAGCAGTATACAGCAGGCGTTCCATGGTGTAAATTTGCAATTATATTGATACCCACTAATTGAAATTCACCTAAAATAATACTAATACAATCCGATGATTATGAGAGCGGGTTTGTTCACTAAGGCGTACCAATTTACCCACTGAATATTGCGTGTGAATATAAAGCCGTCCCGTAGCACTCAGACTTGAAAGCTGAATGACAGGTTCCTGGTAACTGTACTTTACAGTCATTCTTAAGCTTTAAAACTGTGCGTACGTAAAGCAAGACGCGTAGGTTGCATGTACACTAACGCGGTCGGCCTGATAGGCCCAGTTCTCGCTTGGACTGGGCACTGGGTAAGGCCGCAATCAAGGCAGCAGAAATGCGATGCTTGAGGTTTATGCTTTTCCTCATCGGAACATATTTAGCTGTTACCTAAACTGTACTATGAATAAGTATAACGGCAAGCGTTGCCAGAAATGCATTTCCAGTAGGGCGATATTGGGCGACAGAAGTTTATCTCACCTCCGCTGGAAAAACAGCGGGCTTGCCAGTGTACGGATTGGCGGTTAATTTGATGCATACAACTAAAAAACACCCCAAAAATGTATTGGATTCTACTGAAAACGTATGCTTGTGTGTCCACGAAGTCCTAAGACTTATACATTAAAAATTGCGTGTTCTTACGAGTCAAAAAAGTACCGGCTACTGCGCCCGGCAGCTTTCGGTGACAGCCTG